GCGGCCAAGGGCTGGATCGCCGCAGCGAACAGCAGGGGCCCAAGCGGGTCGCCCTGTTGCACCCCGCTGCTGGACTGCAGCACTGTGTCCCCAAACTGCAAGTTGCTGGCCTGCCGGTAGCACCAGGTGGCCCAGCGGGCCAGGGCTGGGAACTTGTCCCGGGCCTCTTGCAACACGGCTGACGACCACGGAATCGTGGGAAGCAGCACGGCGGCCAACCCAGGCCCGAAGGCAATGCACGGCCGCTTCCGCTCCGCCGGGCACAGCAACCCCGGCCTGCACAGGCCAGAAGTATACCCTTGCCTCCGCGCGCACAGCCTGCATGAGGCACTCCCGTAAGGCGGCGGAGAAGCTCCCCAACGGCAATGGGTCGGACCCCACCAGAGGGCTTGGGCAAGCCACCAACCCAGCGCCGGCCAACACCGGCATGACGCTGGCACAGGCCCGCCCCTGCGCCAAAAGGTTGACCACCGCAGTGAGTTGATCAAGCAGCCCGGCGCCATCGCCCAAGGCATCCCGTATGTGTTGCACTCGAAGGCCGGTGGGCCAAGGCTGCCACGGTACTGGCAGAAGGGTCACACAGACCTTGGGAGAGAAGTGCCGTGCAGGCCTTCTTGTCAAACCCTTCACGGGCGAGGCTGGTGGCGAAGTCTTGCCGCTGCTCCTCGGTCAGCTGGCGCCCCGGCCTCCGTGGGGCAGTAGGCCGGCTGGCCACACAACGTGGCACGCTCACCCCCATTCCATCGTTGCAGCCCCTCCACGCTGAAGGCGGCGGCAGCACGTTGGTGCTTGCGGCCAGCTCGGGGCGGGGTGCATAGCACATTGGGCAGCATGAGGAGGTGGGCCCAGGAGACTTCGTCATTGTACTCCGCCGCCGCAGCCAAAGCCCGAGTGAAGGCCTGCCCCCAAGCATGCCTGGCACGGCCGCAAGGTGGGTGTCGGGCTGCCTTGGATCTCGGCGAAGGAGGGGAGGGCACCATCGCCATCCGTCGCAGCGCCGGAGCCGCGGCCACGACCACTCCCAACAGAGCGGGCGTCAGGCCGGCAAGTGGGATGAATGCCAAACCGGGTGGAGACGGTCAACCCACAAACCAAGCACTCCTGCAGGCCGCGCTCCTGAAACCAAGCCGAAGGGACACGCCCAGCCAGGGAACCACCCAAATGAGCATCCACATGGGCCCGCACTGTGCTCGCCGAGGTCCAGCCACGGGCGGAACTCGAAGAGCCGGCTGGCCGCCCCAATCATGAAAGATTGACATCCGTCATGCGCTCATTGAGTTCACGATGAGGTCCATCTGTGCGAAGATGGTGCCCATGTCTCCTGATGCCAGCGCAGATCGCTTTCCAAGTTCGGCCATCCAGGCATTGATGTCAAGCTTCACAGCTGCGTCGTTCACTGCCTGCGCAATTGTTGCATGAAGCGAGTGCTTGCCTGCTTGCTGCACCCTTGCTGAGTTGAGCATCGTTGGCCTCATTCCAGTGCTGCTATAGAATGAGAATGCCAATTGGCATCAGTGCCTCCAATGGTTGGGTGTCGAGCAAAATCGGTGAGAACCCCAACCACCCTGCCATGGTGGATGTGGCGAGGGGCGGGTCTTCGCAAGCTGCAGCAGGTCTGGCAGTTTTGACAGCACGGCCACCAGCGCAGGCTCTGCCAAACAAGGCCCGCCTGCTGGTGATGCCCGCATGTCCGCAAGCAGAGCCGCTGTTAGGCTCAGCAGGTGGCATCCCTCACTGAGGGTATGCACCCTCCTCTTTTAAAACCCGTCTAGGGCAGATGGCTGCAGCATCCGAGTACGGCCTCCAATCCATGTTGCCTTGATTGGGGTTGTTGTTTTTTTGATTTGGGGTTGTCAATGTGTGGCCACATTTGTGGTAAAATGAAAAGCACAACTGGAGAAGAAACGCTCAGTGTGTGGGCCCAACATGCACCAAGATGCAAATAGACTAAAAGGCTCAAAGGATCTGCCAAGCAGACCAGGTCAAGGTGGCTCAAGACTAAAAAGGCAACAAAAGAATAGGACATGTTTGCTTTAAACCTGAGATGGTTTGGCTAGTTTGGACATGTCCAAGGATGATCTGAGGACCATTGACTTGTTAGCATGACAAGCTGAAGAGTAAGGGGCAGACCCCCCCAAAAGGACATGTTTATAAGGCTTGGAACTGTTGTTGTTTAACCTCCAACTCCAAGTCAGGAAAAACATAAAATTCAAAATACACCCCAGTGGTGGCATTTCATTTTTGGTTGTTGCTTTGATTTGGGGTCTCCAAAGAACAGCTATTACAAACTATACTTACAGTATATACACATGGGAGCTCTGCCTGTGAAAATTCCATGTGCATTGTTAGTAGGTACAGATGCACCGGCCGTGTGTTTTTCAAAGATCTGGGAACATATGTGTCTGATTGCTTCTGTATTCCTGTTTAATTATTGCAATGTCGAAGAAGTCAAGGAAAAGTTAGCATCCTTTGACAAAAAGGATGCTGGCAATGTGGAGAAAGAGCCAGCCAAGGAAGAGTCAGCATCCTTTGACAAAAAGGATGCTGTGGCTCAGAAAGACCCTGCAGATGAGAAAAAGCCAACCCAAGACCAAAGGGTTGTGCTGAAGCCACCTCTCAAGGAGTTTGGCCCCTCTGAAGCACAAAAAGATAAAGAGAAGCAGGGCAAAGGAAATAAGAGACATGTGGCAAGGGAGCTAAGTTGGCAAAGGAAAGTGGCAAGAGAAAGGAGCCCGACAGAAGACAGCCACTTCAGCCAGAGCAGCAGCAGCAGCAGCAGCTCTTACTCCACCTCCACACAGACTGAAAGGATGAGATTGCCAGAGTGGATCGCAGTGGATTGGCACAATACCCTTGAGTTGAGGGGTGGTTGACAAAACCTCCCTTGAAATGCTCAGGGATGCAAATGTAAAAGTCTGGGTGCTTTCCTTTGCACGCCAGTGGAGGGCAGTTGAGGTGAGCAGGGAGTGTGCCCAACTGAGAAGGGAAGGGTTGATAGAGGCATGGACCTGCTGCAGGGAGAGGTGTGGCCAAGATGGCAAACTGCACTGGCTCAACCACCACCAGGTCAAGCACCTGTTTGATGACAGCTATGAAATCCTAGATGAATGTGAGGATGGTGGAATCAAAGTGTTCCCAATAGGCCCTAACTCCAGGAGGCCTCAAAGGTTCCACAGCTTTGCACATGCTGTGAGAGTCTTTCTGAACAAATGATGGGGGTAAGTGTTGACCTTGACAAAAGGTCAAAGTAGATAGAGAAACCGTGCCCTTAGGGGCCACAGTGCCTTGACAAAAGGCTTGTTTTGGCATTGACAAAAGGTCAAAGTAGATAGAGAAACAGTGCCCTTAGGGGCCACAGTGCCTTGACAAAAGGCTTCTTTTTGCAGTCAGCAATGGCACCACCCCTTTCAATCCACTAAAATATAGTAGCCATATGATGAAATGAAATATATATTTATGTGATTGTGTGTAGAATGTTCAGAGCTTGTTGTTTTGAGGGTGGCTGCCATAGCACTTTCACAAAGCCCTTGTTGACCTTGACAAAAGGTCCAAGGCAGGTACAGTTGGCTGCAGTCCCCTTGACAAAAGGGGACTGTAGCTAAGACAATCTCCTTTTGCCCAAGGGTGGAGAAAACCAAGGTGAGCATCGCCTGAAACAACTGATGGGGTGAAGGGTGGGTGGGAAACAAAAGGGTAGAGCAAGAGTGTGCAACAAGATGTAATGCATTTGTTATCTGATACATACCTAATGCATTGTATAAATTCTATAGGTTATGTTTAAAATGATCCAGTTTATGTTATGCAATTCCTTGACAAAAGGTGTGCGCAATAACCTTTCCAATCCACTTTTGGTCAAAGCATTTATGTTGGGTTGTTGTTCTTTCATTCAATTGGAGTCTACACAACTCAATAAGCTCAATTTATGTTCAGAATTTAATGGAAATACCAAATATGGTCTCTGATCAATTCTGATCAACTCTGATCAACTACCTGAAAAACCATGGTTTGATCAGAACTGATCAGAATTGATCAGAATAGATTTGTTTTGAAGTTTTGCACTTGGAACCATAGAATCCTTTTGGCAAGGATTGAAACCGACCAAAAACATGCAATCAAAAGTGTCCCTGAAGCTTTGTGGTTCAAGCATCTAAGTACAAACACTACACAAGGCATGGCTCCCAAGGCCATGAAAACAGCAATGAAGGCTTTGACAAAAGGCAAAGCCAAAGCCAGCAGCCCCATGAAGGCAACAGTGAGCAAAGGGATACTTAAGAAGAAGCCCTTGGCAAAAGGGAAATCACACAAGAGGATGGATGCCCTGAAGGCACACAATCTGAAGAAATTGCGAAAGATGAAACTGGCTGAGAGGATTGAAAAGATGGCTGAGACTGCAGAAACCCCAGAAGAAGCAGCCACCACCTTGAAGGAAACCTTGACAAAAGGTGAATCAAGCAATGTGTGGTCAGCTCACAACACCTTCATCAAGAAGAATCCAGACGCAAAAGAAAGGTTTGATCAGCTCAGCAAGAGAGACAAAGGATTGGCTGTGGCCTTGTATATGGTCAGGTCAAGGGTGCCAAAGTTCATGAACATTTCAGATTCCGACAACCAGTCCTCCACCTTTGACAAAAGGGAAAAGTGGGAGTCAGAGACAGCAATCCTGCAAAGGTTCTCAAGGGAAGAGCTGGACTTGCACCTGGCTTCAGGTAGGATTACCTGGAGGCAGGACCCATGGACACCTTCAGTTGTGGAGTACTGTGACCTTGGTGACATAACAAAAACAACCAGCGCAAAGAGACAGAAGACGTGGAGCCAAGGTCAAGAGTATGGATCTGATGAGGAGGCAGAAAAGGAATGGAATGCTTTGGGCTCCAGAGACCTGCAGTCCCAGCTGCTGGATGTTGAGGGCTGGGGTAAGGGGCATGGAAAAAGCAAGTCACTCTCCTTGGCAAAAGGGGCTGGGAAAGGAAAGTCCTTGACAAAAGGCAAGAAGCCAGTGCTGGCTTTGGAAGACTGGAAAGGAGGAGGAGAACAAAGAGGAGGATAACAAGAATAAAGAAGAAAAGACACCAGAGCAGGAATGGCATGAGTGCCTCAACAAGGTCAAGAAAGCAAGAGGTACTTTGAATAGTGTCATGAATGACTTCGAGCAAGCTTTGCACAGGTGTGACCTTGCCAAAAGGCCCACCAAGACTGTGAAAAAGGAGGCTGACACCCTTATGGCACACTACCAAGAAGATAGAAGAACTAAAAACTGTTCTCATGAAGAAGCAAAAGGCAATGTCCCTGAGCAAGGTCAAGACCTTGCTGGGTGATGCTGCTGCTTGCCTCAAGGATCTCAAAGAAGAGGTCAAGGAGATGAACCAAATGGCAAACAAGGCAGCATCAAAAGCCAGCAAAAAGTGAAGGATTGCCTTACTTACCTTGGCAAAAGGTTGTGGTGGCAAAGAAGTGTAAAAAACATCCTTGACAAAAGGGTGTGATGACCACAATGGACCACAC